CTGTCAAAAATTAATTTCTACTTCATTATTCATAAATTTCGACGAAATATATGTGTAATCTCACAAGCTACAAAACTCAATCAAATTGATATTACTTGTCATCAATTTATTTTATAATAATCTTACTTTCTTTCAGTACTTTCTTTTTTCTGATATACAAAAACTTTCTTATACATTGATTATGTGATAACATGATGAATAAATGTATTAATTAATTCCTATACTTTTTATGATTATTACTTCATGGATTAATTTATTTATTACAAAGTCATGCTACTGAAATAATAAAGCTCATTTTAAAAGGAGAAAAAAAGTGATTATCAAAGTGAACTTTTTGCCTTGACGAGTAACGACCCCATTCTGATTACAATTAGTTGGCATTCTAAACTCGAAAATTTTTCTCCTTCATATAATTGTAGTAGTTTCTTGGGGTGCTTCTTCATCAGTGTTACTTTGTGGAGTTGAAGGCTGTTCCTCGCTGCCCGTCCATTCTTCTTAACTTCAAAATAAATCGCCGTCCACTCCTCCTTCTCCATCTTAACTTCACTTTTGATTGTTTTTCCTGTAAAAATTCCGTTTCTGCTCCATTCTTATCACGTCTTTTTTGGGCTTTCTTTCATTTATTTTCAGTGTTAATTTAATTTCCTCATTTTTTAAAATTGATTATTTGTTCACTACCTGAAAACATTTTTCTTACTTTCAAATTCATTCACTTCAGCAAAAAATGAAAAAGCATTCATTTAAAATTGAAATATTACACAATATATGGCTTTCCCTTTCTGTACTACCTTTTATTTTTATTGCAGTCGTAAGTTTTGCATTGCATTTCTTAAGCAGTGTTTTTTTAAAAAGTTAAAGTTTTAAGTTATTTTTGCAAAATAAAAATGCACATATTTCTTATTTTAAGACAATCTCAAATACAATAATAGCATAAAATGCAATAATAGCATAACATATTTCTTTGCTAAACTTACTTCTTAATAAATTAAAAAAAAAATTAACACAAATAATCAAAATGCTCAAGTTTAATGATGCTAACTCTACAATTCACTTAAATTACTCTGTTATTAAGAAAATCTATTCGTCAACAAAATTCAATCACTTTGAATAACTGTGAAATTCATTTTGAAAAATTTAGCAATTTTAAAGCAGTTAAATAGAATTTATAGAGAATTTCTGTATTTATTCGTATTTGTAGTGTAAATCAATTTGTAAAACCTATTTACATTTACAGTGATATGCAAATTTTTTTTTCTCCTCTCACAAATAACTTTGTTTTCCCTTTCATTTTTTTCTCAACTTGTCTATCGTTCTTTTCCAGTGTTATATGTATATTGTTCAATTAGAGAGCCATCACATCTTATACTGCTGCAGTAATCTCTTCTTGATTGTACAAAATGAGTGCAGTTAAGTGTGTAAATAAATTTGCCTCTTAAGAAATCAGCACGAGGAGTTGATTTAGAAAAGAAATGACGATAATGATGATGACAGTGAGATGATAGGGATGTCGACGATGATGATAATGTCATTGATAGTGATAATAATAGGGATGGTAATCAATTTCAAGTTAAGTATCAATTCTGGTATTTTCAAACAGATTAAGCACACTTATCTTCCAACTTTCATCTTTAAAATAACTTAGAGTACTATACTTGCTACATAAGTCTTTATTTATATCTCTCTAAATTTGTAAACTTTAATTAACGCTGTCAGTTTACTTTATTTCTGATCTATCAACTATTTTTCAATGATTTTTTTTTTAAAAAAAAAAGCAAAAGAAGTTGTTGTAACATTTACAATTATTAGCTCTTGTGCAATCATTTCAACATGACCTCATAATTATATATTGATCATAACCTGATTTAAATTCCAAAACTTTTCTTAGAATCTTGATATCATTATCATCATCATCATCTTCTTCTTTGTATTTCTTTCATTCTATTTCTGGTAAAAATTTAGTGATGACTTGTAGGGATGAAATATGACTTAAACGAGGAAATCTAAAGAAAAAATGGTTTCATACTAACAGAAAAAGTACCATAACAAAAGGTTTTTGCATTGCTGTTTTTGAGATTTTCTTTTAATAGAAGCGTTTTTACGTGTACTAAAATAAAATCTCAAAATGCTCTTATTCTTACTACTTGCTTTACAAATGACTGTAAAATGTTCTAAAAAGGTCACGAAATATCATTTCAGCACTCCTCGCTCTAACTATTTGCCTCTTACAAGAATCTGATTCATTGAGAAAATTTCATATGAATTTATCAATTCTATTCAATTCTACTTAATCTTCTATTCTTCTCTTTAAATATAAGAATTCTAAATATTTGTATCTTGATTTTAATACTTTGAAAAAGCTATTAAGTATTTTAAACTTTTGAAAGGGTCACGAAAAATCTTCATTTATTATCATTTACTATAGTGAAATGAATATTTAAAAAAAATTAAATATCAGGTAAAAATTTGAGACTTGCTGAATCAGAGAAATTTTCATATTTGATAAGAGTTTAAAATTTTTATTCACAATGAAATATTTTAGTTAGTAAACGGAAAGCAAGTCTTATTTTCATCTTTCTCAACTGTTTTCCTTGGGAAGATTGATGTGTAATCAAGATTTCTTCTAATGAATCAGATTTTATCATTATTTTAATTATTTTAATGGGAATGGCATTGTGATATATTGTTGGTAATTAATTAGCTTCATTATTTCTCATCAGCATTTTTGCCCACCTTAAATGTAAACTTTGTGTATTAAAATGAATTTCGCACAAAATTTTCATATATATTGCGCCGAAAACTTTGCTAAGTTACTGAATCATTAAAATTTGTTATTGAATAATAATTGACTTTGTTTTTTTCCTACTGAAATCTGAAATTTTGGAACAGTTGCTAAAATTTGCATAAAAGATTTTTTGTTTGTGATTTTATTGCTCCTCTTGCTATTCAGTCTTAATACTAATACAAAGAATTTAATTTAAAAAATTCATCTCATTTAGTTGAAAATATAGCAGAATTTCAATATATCAACGCCTATCTTTTACTGATTTTTACAATTTAGTCTGTCCAATTTTGGCCTTATTGTAATAATCGTGTAAAAAATTTATTATTTTCTCATCATTACAACAATTTCATGAATATTTTGAAGGAAATGTTGAAAAATGTGATAACAATTATCAGTCTGTCAATTCCATTTTTACGTGCATTCATAGTTGAAGATCAAATTTTCTTTTAAGAAAATCACCAAATTAAAATGGGTCAACTTGAATAAAAGTGGAATTATATTATTTTATTTGAAAAAATTTCCAGCTTATATAATTGCTATCAACTTCGAAAAACAGACAAACAAATTTTAAAAATTTTATTAGAACTAATTTTTTAATACAAAGACATTGCATTGAAAAAATATCTTTTAAAAATAACGATTGTTATTTTTAAGAATATACTTTTTTTACTAAATATAATGGACCAAACTTTTCAATACTATACCTCACGGTCTTTATTTTGCGAATTATGATAGAAAAATTCTTCAATTATTTTCTATAACTGTAATTTAGTACGATATCGTCTTTTTTAAATCTCTGAAATTATAAGATTATTTTCCTCAACGAATCCTAGTTTTCTGAATAATTGAAAGACATTTTATAATAAAAGTTTGCTCATATTCTTCAAAAATATAGTATTAGAGTTTAAATATGTTATCATTTCTAAAATAAGGATCATGGCTGTGTTTGGAGCTTTTTATAATATCTAGTGATTAAAAATACAGATAAATTTGTTTTTAATTAAACTGGCTTACTTTTATCTTCGAAAGCATAGATTTATAAATTTCACTGCTTATTAGTCAGATTTAAAAATATAAATAGGAACAGTAATTAATAAGTTCACAATTATTAATTACTGTTCCTATTTATATTTTCAGTCTAAAATAACAGAAATTTATAAAGAAGTACAAAGAATACATAAATTACATCAGTTCTCTATTTGATTGCATTGTGATCGTTAATTGTGTACTAGTGAAAAAAAATTTTTTTTTGACAATTTTTGAGATTAATAAAAATAAAAGTTTCCTTTCAAGACTTGTCAGTACTAAATATTAACAACAAAACTAGAATATTTCTCACGAAACTATTTTACTTAACTTTTTCATTTATTTGCTTTATAATTTTGCATATGCTAATTTGTTTAAGATATATTACTTTTAAAGTTTACGCATATTTTCTTCAAAGTTACTTCTTCCTATGAAATTATTGCCACTTCCGAATGTTTACAAGAAAATTATTGCTGTGAATTCGTTTTAGCTTTTCTATATTTCATTGCTTTTGAAACTTTTGCAATATCAATTCAAACGAGCAATAAACAATCTGATTGGAAAATTGTTTATTGGTCTCCGGAAATAATGAAAAATATTACATTGTATTTTGCCTTCAATTTAACTAAATATTATGATTTTGTTATTACAAAATTTTGAGTTTTTCATTCATCTATTTTTATCAATCAAAGCAAAAGAATTGGTTTTGGAAAATTTACGTGATCATGTAATTTGCGTACATCACTTCTTTACAGTTTTTAATCATAATTTTGCTTTCAATGCTGGTAAATGTTGAAAATATTGATGTTTTCTTACAATTCTTTTTTAGATGTTATGCAACAATTAAATGTTGATGCATTATCAATGTTTCTGAATTTAATTTTCCGTTAAAACTTTTAATTGAATACAAATTTAATTAATTTAAATTTCGTCCTTTTATTTGTGATTTTGCCAGTCTACTCATAAACAAAAAAATCTTCTTGTTATTAGAGATTCACCTCAAAATGCTGTAATCACTAAAGATTACTTTTATGAGGATAATTGCTCTGATTGAAATGGATCAAACTATTTAACAATATCAGAAAATAATTTTCAGGCATTTTTCAATTGTCGTGGAAAATGTAAATATTTTTTAATATTATGCTGAAAGATTTAAAAATTTCAAAACTGGTGTAAGGTGGTGAGCTAAATTATGAAGCCTGATTTACGGTTCAGGCCGTTACTACTTAATATCACTGATACTGTAATTACTGCTATAACTTACAAAATTTCTTATGTGATTAATCACGAAATTATTCAACTAGCAAATTTTTTATTGAAGAAATCTCTCAGGTTTTATCTGATATTTATTTTAATTGGTAAAGGAAATTCAGAGCGCAATTCTAACTCAATAAATTTTCGAGACAGCTTAAATTATCGCTTTACAAGCACTTCAGAAAGTGCTGCTGAATCTGAAGGTACGTTTTTTTAATTTGCGGTGGAGGTAAAATTTTTTAAACTCAAAGTATTAAATTTTCAGCTTTCTTTGTAATTTGAAATAAGAATGTTTGTTCTTATTATCTCATCTTGATTTAATAATTAAATAGATTGAAAAACATTATTAAAAAAATTATAGAGATTAGTATAACATTACGTATCTTGATGATATTCCGATATATTTGTATGAAATAAATGATTTTGTATTCTGATTTCTTTTAAGTCTCTAAGATTCAATAAGTTTAACACTTATTCTCTCGTTTTTTTAGGAAAAAACCGCAAAAGTCATCTCTAAGATTTTGTGAAGCAAGATTTTAAGTAGAAAGTTTCATACAGAATCTTCCTTTGTTAGTTATTTATTAGAAGATTAAATCACTCAGCGTTATCTTAGATTATGCTTAATTGCCAAAAAAATAAATTACCTTGAAATATTTTTAGAATTTACAAGTAAAAGCTTACATATCGAAACAACATCAAATCATTCAAAAACTGCTCGTGTTTTTAGTGATAATCAGGTAAAATTTTTGTATTTGTGAAAATGTATGAGCATTAATAAAAAAGTTTAATTAAAATCTTGTATGTAAATTTAATTTGTTAATGTGTTGTCAGTCATTTTGTCAATTTCAAGTTTTATTATAGAAATTAAAGTCTAGTGAATCCAAGCTTCTTGTTCAACGTTCCTTGCCTACAGCTTCTGATTTTTCGATTGTAAAAGATCCAATCAACCCATCGACAATGCTTAATGTTATTCTGCCAAGCTCTCCGACTCATTTTGAGCAGTTTATTGCAAAAGTTGTTGACATTTCACCAGTCACGTAAGCATTTCAATTTGAATTTACTTTTACAAAACTTTGCAATAAAAATTTGCAATGTGTAACGACGTTATGATTAACTCAGTTTTCAGTGCAAATATAACTGACAACAATAAAATCTAAAGAAGTACAAATTTTGTATCGAAAATTTTTTAGGAATTGTGCAAAACAAATTTTGAAAAATTTTTAGAGATACAACAGAGCTTGATATCAATAAAACATTTGTTGCCAACCCATCAAATTTTAGCACTATCAATATTCATGGTCTTCATGCTGGTCATCAGTACAGGTTAATTTTACAAATTAAAATTTCCACTCAGGTTTTTGACGTTAATTTATTTACTTATTTGTTGCTTTATTTTAATGAATACTTTTGAATGCAGAAAAACTTGAAAAGTTTAAAAAATGTATTTGTCACCAAACTTTCTTTAAATTAAGTTTTAAAATTAATTATTGTTCAATAAAGAATGAAAATTAAGTTCATTTATTTTGTAAAAAAATTAAATTATCAATAGAAAAGCATTTATATACAAATAAAGAATCAATTTGGTTACAAAAGCTATTGAAATTGATAATTATTGCATTAAAATTGTTACCAAACTTTACGTTTTAATCAGATTAGTATCTCTCAAATATTATACAATGAAATAAATTAAAAAATTAAATTTTATATTATTAAAGAAAAAAGCAAGAATAACTAATAATAATCCGTGACAAAACTCATTTAACTTTCATTATTATGCCATAAATAGCAATAAAGATGAATGAATGGTAAACGTTCAAGGTTGTTCCTCGACCTATTCCATTTCAATCAACCAAAATTTAATCACATTTTCTTCACACTCAAAGTTCCTTTCAGACATTCTGAAATATTGTATAGAATTTCATGAAAGATTATGCGTAAATAAACTATAAATGATTGTCAGGAGAAGTGAATGAAATTTAATTCAAATTAGTACTAGTGGAAATATTGAGCATTTTCTTTGCCTTCTTCATTCTTGATCATATTTTACGCCTTTACATTCATTTGAATTTTTGCTACAAATTGTTTTCATACGAATATATGATCTTTGTTTATACGTTTTCATTACCTTGTCATTAAAAATGCATAATTGTACAAACAGTTAATTAGAAATTGTTAAGTTATATAAATCCTTTTAAATCTTTTTATTTATGTTATACTAATGCTACTAAGGAAATTATTAATTATCGTTTTGCCTTTAGTTAATGATATAAATCTCGAGTTTTTTTCTTCAAAATTCTTCCTAATTACTAATTTTGCTGATTTTTACTTTTTCATTTTTTTACAGTTTTTATTCGCAAAACATGCTAGTCAACAAGTTTATTTTAATTACTGGTCCAATCCCCAAAATTTTGATTAATAACACATAATTTTGAGTTAATGTATCTTTTATCTGAAAAAGAAAAAATTGTATATAATTAAAATGAGTATTCATGAGTTATTAAAAAAGCATTATTTAAGTACTAAATTAAAGTAAGTGAAAACTAAATTGCTAAATGATTAAACTCAATTTTTTGGCTTCTTTTGGTTTGATTTTTTCAAAAAAATTGGTTTCCAAAATTGGAACCAAATATTTTTTCGAAAAAAATATAAAAGTTTCGGAATGTGTTTTTGCTACTATTCTTTTTCAGAAATTATCGTTTTAGGAAAAAATAAATAAATAAATGAGAATGAGTATGTTTGCAGCATTTCTGTGCTGGGAAGACAAAAAGGTGAATCAGAAATGATCAAAGAAGAAAGAGTAATAATGAATCCTGTAGCACCCAACTTCAGCTCATCAAATGCATCAGTTCTTATCTATCATACTAATATTACCCTTCGAGCATTAAAACCCCAAAGAGCTTTGCAGGTCAGATTTGAATGATGAGAAAACTAGCATCTCTGATATTATGTATCATATAATTTTGTTAAATTACTTTCACTTTACACATAATTTATTACAATTTCCCACTGAATATAATTTATAATTGATAAAGAATATTACGTATTGATATAAATTAGATACTGAAAATACAGAAATTGAATATGATTTTGATCGTTCAGAGTGCAAAATTATAAATTTTATTAACGAATTTTTTTATCAAAACTATCTTAGCTAACAACAACTGTATTTGCTTGTGCTAAAATTTTTCAAAATTTTTAGGACAGTTTTCAAATTGCATACGTACAGCTTGATCCACTAAGATATTTTCCAAAACTTGAAATAAATGACATTCCCGAACAGAACCACATCGAAATTTATCTTGGAAACTTACTTCCTGGGCGAAATTATAACGTTTCTGTTACTCCACAAATAATGGATGTTGAAGGTCAACCCTGGAAAGATCTTCTAACAACGAGTTTGTTATTATTTGTAATTTCTTTTGTTTTGTATTATTTTGCAAAAATTTAAAAAAAAATGATAAATTTTTATTTTACGAGAACTTTTTTTTCACGAAAATGATAAATTTTCACTACAGAATGCTTAAAGAATAATGCTAACAATTTGACTATTGAAAACTATCAATGGTTCATTTTGTTTGTTTATTTGGAACTCAGTCGTTTTCAGAGCCATATTCTCCAGAAAATCTGACAGTGACAGAAATGAATACCACTTGTTTGAAACTTTCATGGTTTTTAACATCACGCACAGGAGCTGATTTCATTGTTATTAGTTACAGAGCCACCAAAATCACCAATCCATTGACAACGGTAAATAATAAGTAAAGATAAAATTTAGATAATTTAGATGCAAATTCTTTCGAAACACTACATATTTTTCAGATTAAATAATCATCATTAGAGTTACTTCATATTACAAATTATCATCACTTTATTCTGTCTGTATATTACAGATAAAAGTGCCTCGTAACCAAACATCAGTTGAAGTCTGTAATAAATTACAACCTGGACGGACATATCTGTTTGTTGCAAAAACAGTAAAAAGTAAAACAGAATCAGAAGCTGTCCAAATTCTATACACGGTGAAGCCGAAAACACCTAAAAATTTAAAAATTTTAACAGATTATGAAAAGAGAAAGTTCAGGTAAATTTTTTTCGATTTGCAGACTTATGTGCCATCAAAAAATTTCTCTTTATCAAATTTGTTGTATTTAAAGGTTGTAGATCTTAGTCTCGTATAACTCGTATAACTCGTATAACTGGTATAACTAACAAAATTTAACATTTTACGCAATTTTTCAGTAATCAATAACTTTTAGAGTTTTTTGATCTAGAAAATTTTATAAGTAATCATTGCAAAATAATAGTTCGCATGAGAATAAAATTTTCGATGAGGTCATTTCAGATTATCTATAGATATAGCACCTGAATCTGAGAGTCACACAGAAAAATGTTTTGTGAGTTTAGTAAACGAGAAGTTAGATGTGATTGAAAGGATATCAGACGTTAATCACGCAACAAGCAACTCATCTGAAAGACAGTAAGTCTTTTTATTGAGATTATCAATCAGCTTTTTCAGGAAAAATCTCTATATTTTGCATCTTAAATATAATTTATTAAAGTTATTAACTATGTTGTATTTTTGAGTAGCTAATTAGCAAAGTCCTTAAATATCTACAGAAATTAATGTACGCAAGTTTTGATAGGTGCATGCTGTCTTCGTTAATTTTTTTAATTATATTAACATATCAAAAGTAACTAACTATTAGATTATTTTTATGTTCAAAAATTATTAATGAATGATTATTAAAAAGACTTTAGAATGCTTGTATTTTTGATATGTTAGTTAGTAAATAAATAAACATTATATTTTAAAGACTTCTGAACAGTCATTAATAATATCACAATAAAAATAATACATTTAGATGCTCACTTTACGTAGATTTGCGACCTGGACGACGCTATGAAGTTTCTGCAAAAACAATCAGTGAGAATACGTCAAGTAATATCATTTCAAAAAGTTTCGCTTTACAACCAGCCTTTGATATGAAATCATTTGGATTACAGTTATCGGTAACTGATTACTGTATACTGAGCATTCATTTAAATACCAAAATTCAGCACTCAATCTTGATATATGCTTTTAATAACCTAAATTTAGACATAAATACAGAATTTACCAAGAAAATCAAACTTCATAAATAACATCACCACAATAATGTGACAAGTTGAATGACTGAAAATACATATCAATAAAAAATCTTAAATTTGTACAAAGAGAAAAGCAATAAACGTCCATTTTTTAAATCACAATTCAGGAAACCAATGGTACTTTAATGTTAAAGTGGCCTGCAGCGGAAATGACACTGGCTCGGTTAGATGATGTTTGGGAAAATATTGTTGGTCCTGATAGTACGCTGCATTTACGTGTTGAACCACAAAGTAAATCAAGCACTAGCACGTGGCAAGAACAACCCAAACGTTTTGAACGTCGGCAGTATGAACATGATCCATTAATTGTACCGAAACTGAAACGTGGTGCTTGCTACAAGGCAAATTTAATTTCTTTTTTATCACCATTGCTGATTTATTATTATACTTTTCTTTCAAATTTTCTCATGGGAGTAACGCAAACAATTTGTGATTATTGCTAAGATTCATTACACATTTTGAAGATAATCAATCAACTAGTGGTTTTTAGCTATTGTACTGAAAAACAATATGAGTAGAAATATGCTGCATTTGTGATTTTATTATTTCTACACAAAAACTTAGTTACCAATCGATTTAGGTGCAGATTTATACAGTGACAAAAAGTGGTATTGCAAGTGAAGAAAAATATGAACAAATTTTTCGTATTAGTGCACCATTTATAAATATTACGAGGGAAGAAGTTGCAAAAAGTACAGCGACATTTCGGGTTGTTCTCGAATCACCAATTATTTCTGATCCACCGGAGTGTAATTTGCATATTGTAGTGGTAGATATGCGAAACATGACTATTTATGACCGTATCACACCATTAATACCAGAAATATCCCCCATCGTTTTAGAAGGACTACGACCTTATCATCGTTATACTATTAACTCCCAGGTATTTTTGTAGAAATTTTAAGAAGCAAGAACTTGATCATAATAATAATGCAAAAATTTTATGATCTCATGTCAATTTTGACGTGATCAGAACCTTGATTTTTTTCATTATTTTCGAGAGGAATACAATTTTTTTTACTCTAGAACGTTTCTTACTGCTGACAACAATATGATTTGTTCTGATAGCAAAATGAATAAATTGAAAAAACTTGACGCATTTCTGCATAATTCACAAAAATCTGGTTATCGATTTCTTTAAAATCGGGCTTGAGTTATCTGTCAATACAAAATTTTAGATCATGTGCGGCAAACCTAATGACAAGATATGTCTCGCAAAGCTTCAGACAATGGACCCTATAACGTTTGATACTCGTCAAGATCGGCCTGGACCAATTCAAAATTTGACTGTTCGTATTCTCAATCCATATAGCGTCCAGTTATTTTGGCTACCACCAGCTTTACCGAACGGAATCATAACTCATTACATCATTGACATTCATCCTATGGTATGTTCCATCGTTTTCTTGTTGAAAATTTGCTCGTTAATCATTATAAAGAAAGCAATCTTATATTTTAAGTACTTTAACAGTATTCGCGACAACAACTTGACCTCTGAATCAGTTACAGTTTGTGCAAATTGATTACAAACGTAATTAGAACACAATACTCAACAAATATAAGATTTTTGACGCAAAAAAAATGAAAAATAATGACGATATTTTAAAATATTTATAATACTTTCTTTACCAAGGATATAAAGTTAAACTGAAGTGATCATAAAAATGAAATATTTTTGCTTAATTGCAAGCAAAAAACTACTGAAAGAGTATGGTGAATAATAAAACTTTGAATAATACCCCTGGCTGATTAAAATAAAGAAAAAGGATAAGTAAAAATCATTTTTGAGGGGTCATACTACGAAATCTGAATTTGAATCAAATGAAAAATTAAATGCATATATAATTAGATCGTTGTTTGTAGTGAACTACGCATATTAAAGTTAGCAACAAATAGTCAAAATAAAATAAAATAAGCGAGTCAGAAACTATCAGAACCTTTTTAAACAGCCTCAGTAGAAAACATAGGAGAAGAAATTTTTAGATAAAATGACCTAGAAAACAGGTTTTTATCTAGGCTTGGCATGAACCATGTAAAGATGCCAAGGAGTAAATTACTGTTTTTCATCTAAAGAAATTTTGTGAAATCGTTTCTTCGTTTTAATTCATTGTTTCGAACATTCCTCACTTACTTTTATTTCCAAATCACTCACTCCTGTTCAACTCCTTTCAATTTCTTCTGTGTAGAATTCAAAAATAAATACTTTCGTCCCATCGCAAATTAGTCCATGCACTTTCTACTCATTTACTACCGTAGAATTCATGCCATCATTGTGCAGTACTCTATTATTTTAAAAAGTACTTCATTTTAATTTCGTTCTTGAAACTTGGACCTTGACTTCTATTCATCTCTTACATTCAAAGCTTTTTTGCTTTTGGGATATACTATCCCGTCCATTACCAAGTCAAACCCTTTACTACAAAGTTTTTTAGTATTTGCATATTCATTTCTCAGCCACTATTTCTAAGGTAATCTTATCAAAATTAAAAGTACAAGCTATTTATATTTTGATAAGCAACAAGATGATTTTCTATTTTCAAAGTAACCATTAATTGTTTGTTTAGACTTTCAAAATGGTAAACAATTTATTCAGCTATTTTTAGTCATCTTATAATGGCTACAATTACTGTTGGTCATTCTGAGATAAATTTATTAAAATCATTATTGCTAACTTAGTATTATTATAATATATATAATATGTAGGTTTTAACTCTTTCAATAATATATTATGCGTGTACAACAACAGGAAGACGAACGAGAAAACGATTGGTCAGTTAGTGTTGGTGTCGGAGCACATCAGCCATCAACATCTTTACACGGCAATAATTACAATCATAATAACGTCGTGCAACAGCCAGTTAAAGCTATTGTTGATAATTTAATTGGCGGTATGAGATATCGGATGGATGTTCGAGCAGTCACAGAAGCTGGTGAAGGTGACTTGAGTGCTGCATCTGATGCCGTGCACGCTGAAATGCCTATATTACGTGAGTATTTAGTAATCTGTTTATCTTAAATTATTTTTTTATTCATTTATTTATTTGCATTTATTTTCGGCTAATATCAACACTTTTCACTCAGATCATTTTTTCACAACTAAGTAATTATACTTTTGATATTTAGATGGTAGAAACCAGTTTTTCATGTCACAGAAGATGCAGCTTTAGAACATAGAGTATGTGTTTAGAAGATGAAAATTGAATGTTGAGAAGAATAAATTTCAGTTTTTTCTTCTATGAATTACAGAAGTAGACGTTAACAAAGAAAAACAGTGTTCAAATTTTTCTGATCAATCGATGATTTTTAATGATTGAACTCTTTCGTTATGCAACTTTTTATTCCTATATTCTTCACAACTTTGATAGCGAAATATTTTAAGCAACAGCTTTCTTACATGTAAATCGGATAGATACAAGAATAGACATTGCAGCTCCACCACTTCCTTCCTCACGTGTTGAAATAGTGCACAATACAATCCATAGTACTGATTTGGAAATTCGGTACAGCACAGCAATGTTCAATACAAAACATGGATATCTGAAAAAGTCTGCTCTTATTGTTGCTGAAGTTGGCGATAGCAAGAAAAACGTCGATTCAATCACGGATCAGCAAAATAAAACATTTGTATGACAGTTCCTTCATTAATATCATCATAATGGAACAAATATCCTTCTTTTAATCAAGAAATTATTTTTAATTAAAATAATCGTCAATTTTTTTCATAAATTAAAGGTTATTCAAGATTTTCATTATCTTCATTCTGTACTATTTGTAAATTAGAACATAATCATTTCATGAAAATTTTTTTAACAAATTTTTTACTGTCTTATGTGTATATATGATAAGCCTGCTGAATTTTATTCATAGTTTGTCAATTAAATCATCAATATCTTTGTCTATTCCTCAGTGATTTGTAATTCTGTGATCTAATACTGTGGAATTCATTTGATCTTCAGTTTTCTTTCTCTGGTCTCCGATGAAAAATTCTGAAATAATTTTTTAGACATGGGGTCAAGCTCAAAGATTCGATGTTTGGCCAGCATATGTTGCCATTGAAACAGCAATTGAACCACTTCGGAAATTTTTCCCACCTCGTTTTGTTTCTGAAGTATGAAATCATAAACAAATTGAAACATTTCTCAGAAACTTCAAATTTAGTATATATGAAGGATAAGAATATACAAGCTCTTGCTTTTTCATTTGCATAGTGAATGAAAATATTTAATTCTATCTTATCAAATTTCATTTCATGGATTCAATAAATTAAAAACAAAATTATAGATAATAGGTGCAGATAACACATGCGCTGAGACTGAGCATGATGCTATTTGCAATGGACCGCTGAAGTCATCAACATCATATCGTTTCAAATTGCGATTATATACAGCACCAAATTTGTGGACCGACTCAGAGTATTCCGAAACCGTCACAACAAGTTAGCTAAATTATTATTTTTACAAAATTATTTTTTACAAAATTTTTTTTCCAAAATTTCTACAAATAATAAGGAAAGTATAGCTTGAATTTTAAGAATTGAAATTGATCTTTAAATTAGATATCAAATGCTGTTACTCAAAAAATAGTGTTTTTGAATAACGTGTTCTTTTGACAAATATATTAAAATTTAATGTTTTCAATTTCAATAATATTTTCACCGATTATGCTTGAAATTTCAAATGCGCATCCTTCTCACGTTCCACTTTAACCATTAGCACATTCAAGAATTAGTCATAGACAATTATTTACAAAATATTCTTTTCAGTAAAATGCACACGTTTGAAGTTTTCCGTACTTAAAGAACAATGTTGAAAGCAAATTTTACTGTATATTAGTGAATAAGATTTCTATTCTCACGTTTTTTCTATCAAGCTTATCACTTTAAAAGATCAATGATGGAGAACTCATGTTTGTCCCGTATGGAGGACTTAATTATAATTTTATGTCTGCGTTTAGATAGAATTCACTAATTTCACTCTTCTGAATCGAACTGCTCAAATATTCATTTGTTCATTTAGGAAGCAAGTAATCCTCAGAAAAAGGAGTAAGAATGAGTTAGCTGGGTTTCTAGTTTTTATACATTTTGTTAAATTTTATAATTTTCTTTTTGTTTCATTATTTTTAATATTTGAAGTACGAACAGATTTTTAAGAGAAATGTAAAAAATGATTTGTTGGCAAAGCATCCATTTATTTGTGTGAGAGACATTTAACCAAAAAAAACTCACCAATGTTGAATGACAACTGTCAAATTTTTGCCGCTATTTGTCAGAAATGAAGCATTTTTATGTTACGGGCAAATGTGATCTGTGACAGATCGTTTGATCAGTAACCCCAGTGAACATTATAGAATAAGTGGTCATTCAAGGTTATCCTCTCTTACATGATGGTTTTCGAATTAAAAAAGTTGGTTCCCATAATCAACTTAAGTAATAACTGAAACAAATGGACTTTATATGGTATAAAAAACAATGTACTCAATATTTTGCTTCTAGAACGATTATACTCTCATAATTCAATCCACACATGGAATAAAATTGAATAAAAGTTTTAAACTCCACAAAACCCTATCGTATTGTTTGATATTTAACAGTTTTAGTGTAAACGAAACGATTTCAGCGACAAAGAAAAAATCTCTAAAGATTTTATATTAAATCTTCAAAAATATTTTCGGACAAACGATCAATTTTGTGTTCATTTTTCTAAAGTTGGAAAAACTTTTCTGATTGGAAATGGCAACGACAAATTAGTTTATATCATGTATTGTGGTTTAGGAAGCAAGACATTCATTCTTACATTCGATCAGTTTTCATTCAGAGAACTCTGGCTGGCAGTACCATTCATGAAATGAAGCGAGTCACATAAAATCAGTCCTACTACGCCTAGGTTTGGTAGGCAAGAAGGTGCAGTTGATCTCGTTTTCTCGAGTGCTCCACCATTAATACACCACTGTTTTCATAAATCACTCACTCATGCCTACACGTTAAGCCTCAAGAGACTTGGACTTTTTGCATTAGTTAAGCCTAAGCCTACGCAACTTTTCCATGCTTCTTTCTTACATTCAATCTTTCCACCTTCGCACCTTCAACACCACTTCATTCCTTAAAAATTTTTCTGTTCTTAGAGTCTCATTTGTCGGGAGACCTTCCTTCCTTCAACAGACTCGCTCTATAATGATTGTCATCTAGTCAGTAGCATTACAAAAAGTAAGAGATAAGGGCAGTCTCTTGGAAGTTCCAGTTCTTCTTCAATTAGGCATAAATAATTAAATAAAACTGTAATATATATATATTAAACAATATCACACGGAGGTTATTCTTCTTCTGTTCATTATTGATTCTGGCGCTGGATCGTATTCTGGCATTCTCGTTGCACTCGCCCCGCACTCGGTTATGCTGTGCTGATCTCCGCTGCTTCTCGTTCTCCTCGAATCCACGGCGCTGGTCGAATGAAATATTTTCAAGCGTTTTCTGGAGTACTATCGATTGGATATATGTTTCAACGTAATCAGATACACTGATTTCCTTTGCGTAACGTTTATGGAAATTTGTTACTATC